ATCACTGCTATTTGCTATTTAGCCCATCCCCCCCACCCACCCACCCCTCCAGCAACCCTCATTTCTCTGTATTTAAGAGTCTGTGCTAATTGCTCTTTGAAACAATTACCAAATGGTTCAGGAGGCTGTAGGTTTATTTTTATTTTATGTAGGAATAGTTGACTGTTCCACATGTAAGAAGTAAAGTTCCAGGAGAATAAAGAACATGGACAATTACTGGGGTTGGTGTGGGGTGAAGAGACAGAATAGCTTTTAAATCTTTCTCTCTAAAAAGTTAAATATCAAACCCTACCCCAACAGATCATGAATTTTATTTAGAATGATGATCCAAAATGTTAAGGTGAGGTGTTCTAACATTGTTAGCTAACTTTTTAACACCCTCTTGAATGTTTCTATAAAGTGTGAAATTTGAAAGATGAAAATCAGTGTATATTATCAGATAATTATCATTCCTATATACCAAGAACAAGCAGTAGAGGTTAGCTCTGAAGTTCAAAAACAAGGTGTGCCTTAGGTTTAAATGAGATGATCTACACAAAACACTTAGAAGAGTGCCTGGCACACAATAAATGGTCAGTAAATGTTAACTATCATTATCACCACCATCATCATCATCATCATCATCATCATCATCATCATCATCATCGCCAGAATCAGGAAATTATCTTTTTACAGGTCTGGGACAATGGCCTGTCCCCAAATTTCTTCATTACTATCACTTTTTTTTTTTAAATTAAATCCAAGTTAGTTAACATATAGTGTAATAATGATTTCAGAAGTAGAATTTAGTGATTCATCACTTACTTATAACACCCAATGCTCATCCCAACATGTGCCCTACTCAATGCCCATCACCTATTTAGCCCATCCTCCCCCACACCCCTCCAGCAACCCTCAGTTCTCTGTATTTAAGAGTCTGTTATGGTTTGTCTCCCTCTCTTTTTTAAATCTTATTTTCCCTTCCCTTCCTTTATGTTCATCTGTTGTGCTTCCGAAATTCCATGTATTAGTGAAATCATGATATTCATCTTTCCCTGACTTATTTCACTTAGCATAATACACTCTAGCTCCATCCACATCGTTGCAAATGGCAAGATTTCATTCGTTTTGATTGCCAAGTAATATTCCATTATTTTACTATCACTCTTAAACCTAGAATTCCACTATCACATATTCTTCACCTCCTTTAAAATTTTAAAGATTTTGAAAAAAAAAATATTAAAAAAAAAAAAGGGATGGCACCTGGGTGGCTCAGTTGGTTAAGCATCTGGCTTTGGCTTAGGTCATGATCTTGTTGGTTCACGAGTTTGAGCCCCACATTGGGCTCTGTGCTCACAGCTCAGAGCCTGGAGCCTGTTCCATATTCTGTGTCTCCCTCTCTCTCTGCCCCTCCCCCACTCACACTCTGTCTCTCTCTCTCAAAAATAAATAAACATTAAAAAATATATTAAGGATTTTGTATCATCCAAAGTCCTGATTGAAAATGCAGCTAGCTCTCAAAGAGGTATGATCTCAAAGCACTTTAGTTAATACTTTATCAGTAAAAGGGACTTTATTAATAAATGCATGGAGGACATTAGTGCTGGCACATGGATCTCCACATTGAGTGAATGGGAATGAAGGAAGAAAAGGAAACATTTACAGAATATTCTCTGGGGCTATGTAAAAGGCCTTCTGCGTATTTTGCCTTTCTTTATCTTCACAACAGCTCTGCTAGATTATTGCAGATGATCGTGCAGGATCCTGCAGCAAGTAAGTGATTAAGCCAGAATTCACTGCCCATGTTACTTTATGCAGATTTGACTAAGGCTTCAGACTTACATCTTACTGTGAGCCAATCATATCAAGCACTCCGCTAAACGAGTCCACATACATATGCTTAAATTGCACTGGGTTGTTTACCACCTAATTAAGTTGTCTCCAGATGGAAGAACAGATAAAAGTTTAACATGAAAACGACTTATGTTTATTCATGTAGGCAAATCCAAGGGGAGGAAAATCTTCGTGAAGGGAATATCTCAGAAAAAGACATCTATAGCCTTTTTGCTCTGGAAAAATGATGAGGTAAATGGGGTCTTGCCATCCCCCATTCTTTTCTTCAATGCCTAATACTTCCTAGTGTGCTGGCATTCTCAATGTATTTATTTATAAACTCTCTTTCACTGATAAAATGTTAACTGAAGTGTATTAGGGTCAGACCTCTTTCAGAACCAGGTACAGTTTTAATCAGGACTTTGGATAACACCAAGTCTTTAAAACTGCGAAGGAGGTGCAGAATATGTAATGGTGAAATTCTAGGTGTTAAGAGTGATAATAAGGGAGAAATCTGGGGACAGGGCATTGTCCCAGACCTTTAAAAAGATACCATATATTCTGCCTTTCCGTCAGCTCAGAGAATATGATGATTTTTCATCCATTTTTTTATGGTTTGTGAACTGTCTCAAAATCATAGCTCTGTGTTATCAAAAATCCAGTTTTCTTTTACCACCATATGTAGCATTGGTTAAAAAGATATTTATTTTTGTAAATTTTTTAAAATGTTTTTATTTATTTTTGAGAGAGAGAAAGAGACTGAGCGTGAGTGGGGGAGGGGCAGAGAGAGAGAGAGAGAGAGAGAGAGACACAGAATCCAAAGCAAGCTCCAGGCTCTGAGCTGTCAGCAGGCTCTAACTCATGAACCACGAGATCATGACCTGAACCAAAGTCAGACACCCAACTGACTGAGCCACCCAGGCGCCCCCACAGGAAGATATTCATTAAAAAAAAAAAAAAAAAAAAAAAAAAAAAAAAGTTTATTTATTTATTTTTGTGAGAGAGAAAGAAGAGGACAGAGAGAGAGAGAGAGAGAGAATCCGAAGCCGACTCCACACTGTCAACCAGAGCCTGATACAGGGCTGAAACCTACAAACTGTGAGATCAGGACCTGAGCTGAAACCAAGAGTCAGACGCTTAAGCGACTGAGCCACCCAGGCACCCCAAGATATCCATTTTTTAAAAGTTTAATTATATGTTGTTTTCATCTGTACTCAGGTTCAAAAGAGAACAGAACATTTTCTCCTAGGTAACTAACAACTATGTATTTTTGGTTATAGGTTTTTTCCTAATGTGAAATATTCAGGTCTTTCATTTGTCCTGCATTCATATGAGCCTTTTGCTACGTGCTGGGAAATAGTTCATTCTCAATTTCCAAGAGCCCTCGCCTCTCTCTCCACCTTCCTCTTACCCCAGGCTTCACCCGAAGCTTCCAGATAAACAGGCACTCTATGCCTTTGGTTTCTTTCAAATCTCCTTTTCCTACCCAATGTTGTATTTTGCTGGCAGCAAATACTATAAAAACTCTTTTGTAGCTAGCTCAGAAATTTGAAACACTAAACCATACTTCTTTTAGTTCTTAAAAAAAAAAAAAAAAAAAAAAAAAAAAAAAAAAAAAAAAGACTAGCACCATGCACGTTCCTTTAGAATACAAGGAAAACCATAGGGAAGGATAACTGGGTAAGTGGGCATAGAGTAAGGTCCATGAAAAGTCATAACAAGACAATGACACTGTGATAAGACAAGTCCTTAATGCACAAGAAAAAGTTGGTTGGCAAGTTTACCAGAATTCTGGAAATCCATGAAGCAGCAGCATAAGTGGTTTGCCTCTTTCACCAGTAGCAACATAATGAAATCTTAACCCCGAATCCTGCAGTAGAAAATAGAGGGCACGGAATTTTAGTGATATCTTGTGTTGATTGTCAAAGTGCGTTTAGTATTTCCATTTCATTAAAGAAAAAACTTGCATTATTTTTAATATCAAGAAGTAAAATAAATATTAATGAATTTCAAAAAGGAAAAAAGTCCCATGATTTATTAATAGGGCAAATTAGATTTACTTTTCTAAATGTTGCTCTTTGTAGTACCTTCCCTCTTCCCGTCTTGTTCTCCTTACAAGGTCAATTTGTATGTTATAAGCTTCTGGAACAGTGTCACAATTTGTGACTTTCATCTTACTGATGTGTCACATTCCATCTCATTCAAATTCTGCAGGACATGTAAATAATTCTGATCTGAATTTATATTCCTGCCGTGTTTACCTCCTAGTCATGTACTTTTCTCAGCTTGCCCGTCAAGAGCTGTGCCATCAGTTATATAATTCACACCTCCTTTCCTTATTTTTAGTTCTCTCCTTCCCACATTATTATTTTAAGTTGAGAGTTGTATGTACCGTTCCCCTTGCCTCCTGCTCCTCATGTCATGTCAATGTATTTCTAACAGCAAGATGCTCTGAGTGCTCAAGACTTTTCTCTGCATGCGGGAGACAAGACTGCCCAAGGAAAATGAAAAGTATAGGGGTGAGACAGGAATACAGCAAATATAAGGCAAGCTGAAAAGAGGAAAATGGAGAAAAACGCAAGAAAAGAAAACAAAAACTCAGAAAGAAGTGAAGAAAGAAACCAAGAACCAAAAGCTGAGCCCAGAGACTAGGTGTTATATCAGGTAACCCAAGCAAAGGGGTTTTCAGATGTGAAGAAATCTTAAAAGGTCAATTAATTCAGCCCCATCATTTTGACAGGTTAGGAAACCGAAGTTCAAAGATGTGAACATGGGTCATAAAGGTGGTTGGGAGCAGGGCTGTGAGCAGAACCCCATTTTCTTCTACCTTGCAGGACAATGGTCTTTTCCACTCCATGGTTCTGTCTCTGGGGCAACTCTTTAGGGTGGCCAGAGTCAGGGGAAAAGCATTATGAGGAATTCCAGATGATTCTTTCTCACTGCTTTTCTTCCTCAGATAACAAACCTGACTTTACCCTCAATTGCAAAATGCCTTTCTAGAAGTTCAGTAACTTCTGTTATTGGTGATGAATCTTGGCCACTTGATTGGATTTAGTGAACAAATACTTTATTGCACTTACCATGTACTAGATGCTGTTCTAAGTTTTTTGTTTATTTGTTGTCTTTTAAAGTTTTTTCCCCCCATATATTAATTCCTTTTATTCTCATATCAACCCCAGGCTGAATAAGGGTAAGAAAAATGTGCCCGTGGTCTTTTGAACTCTAGCTGCTGGACACTCTAGCTCCTATTAGGAATCCTCCACTTGGTGACATAAATATCCCCTCATGTGAAGCTAGTTTTGAAAGTCTTGTGAGTCAGACTGCAGGGTGCATCATGAAAAGCTGTATCTCTTCACCACCTGGAGCCTCAGGAAATGGAATATCCATGGGCTGCCAGGAGGCTTGGGACAAGCATGAACAGTTCCAGTCTGAATGCATGGTTGACATTTGCTTTTTATTCCACTCCTTTGGTCTCTGACTTCATAAGTCTGCTTTCTTGCCCACAAACATATACCATTTGTTTATTGTTTCACACTGGTTAGGTCATCTGCGAACGCTCCATTCCGCTACTCTGAATAAAAGTCCTATTTCCAATGACTTACTCTATTTACTCTTTCAATCTCTAAAATTTGGACAAAGACAGCCTCATGAGACAGTAGGGCGCCTAGGAACAATCCCCTACAGCTGATCTGAGTCCTAAAGGGCAAAAAGGTGACACGAGACAGCTTTCCCTTACAGGGAGCAGAATTATTCTGGGTTGCTGTGGTGGAGCAGGAAGGGACAGTAATATATATAGGACCCTGATGAGAGACCCTCCACATAACCTATTCTCAGTTCCTCTCTCTCTCTCCCTCTCACTCCCTCCCCCCCCACCTCACACACACTCACTCACACACACACACACACACACACGCGCGCGCGCGCGCGCCCGACCCCAGTCCCGCCACACCTCGCCCCGCTTGCTTCCCCTTGGTATCTTCCCTGTCTCCGCCGCGCGCTCTGGCAAGACCCAGGAACCCTAAGGGACGCTGGGCGTCATGGAAGGAGCAGCCCCGCGCGCTCTGCTCTCGCGGCGGTCACGTTCCCTCCCGATACCGCCGGGCCGCGCCGGCCTTCACCTTGATCCGCACGTAGCAGTGGGTACCCAAAGAGGGGTCGTTCAAACACGCGGGAGGGTGTTCCCGGGCGACCCTCCGGAAGGTCTGAGCGGGTCCCTTGCCGATGCTCCACAAAAGTTTGAGCAGGTAGATGGAGGCGCAGAGCCCGCAGTAGCAGTAGACCAGGGACCAGAAGAGCAGGGACCGGATCGTGACCGTCAGGCGGAGCAGGCAGTCCCGCAGCCTCGCCATCGGGTGGGGCCGGCGGCGGGGCCCGCTGCCCTTCCGAGGCGCAGGAGCGGCGGCGCTCACTCGGGCTGCGGAGCGAGACAGCCGGCGCGGCGGCGCGCCTCCCTGCGGGGCCCCGTGGTGGCTGCGCTCGGCCGGCGTCCCGTGGCCCGGCCGCGGACTTCCGCGCTCACTGTGCGCGCTCGGGGCCGCTGCGCCCTGCCCGGGAGCACCGCGGGTCAGACCCCCTGCCCTGCGGGTTCCGCCCGGGACTGGGCGAGGGCAGAGCCCGGCCTTCCTCCGCAGAGTGAGACCCCGGTTCGAAATTGCCAAACTGTGGGGAACATGAAGGTGAGACTTTCCCAAATCTCCGCTCTTACTTTGACCCGTGTTCAAGTCCTCTCATTGCCTGCTTAACTGCTGGAATTTCGTTAGGCCTTTTTCTGGATCAGAGAATTGTGGGGGCGCGCGGCCAAGAGAGGCAGTGAACGATTTTCATACTATATGACAGACGTTATTACTTTATTCATTCCTAACACTCTTCTGAAGGTGTTGATATTCTCCAACAAGGTTGAGAGTGGTTATCAGCCCAGCTAGGCCTCGCCGGTTCCAACGGCACGCCTCTGGAAACCCCTGGTCTGTTTTCCATCCCTGTAAGTTTTCCTTTGCAAGACTATTATATAAGTGCAATCATGAAATATGTAACTTTTTGTCTTTGGCTCCTTTTACCCAGCATAATGCATCTGAGATGCAACTACGCGGCTCCATATATTGTTTCCTTTTCATTGCTTGCTAGTGTTTCATTGAATGGATGTGCCATATTGTTTATCCATTACCCAGTTAAAGGACATTTGAGTTGTTTCCAGTTTTGTGGTTAGAAATAAAGCCACTGTAAACACTCGTGTGAAGTGTTTTGGGTGAACTTAAGTTTTTCTTTCACGTGGGTGAGTACTTAGAAGTGGGACTTCTGGGTCAGGTAAAACGTGCATTTAACTTCATGAGAAACTGCCAAACTGGCTTCCAAACTGTACAACTTTGAATTCATACCAGCTATGGGTGGGAGTTATGGCTTGGTTATATTCTTGCAAGGAATTGGTATTGTCAAAAAAAAAAAATATTTTCAATTGTTGTAATTCCAGGAAGTGTGTAGCATCTCATTGAAATTTTATTTTACATTTCCCTAGTGACTAATAATGTGTAGGGATCTTTATGTACTTGTGTGCCACTCGAATATATTCTTCTTTGACAACGTGTCTGCTAAAATCTTTTACTCGTTTTTAAAAGATTGTGTTGTTTGTTTTCTTACTATCGAGTTCACGATTTGTCTATATACTTTGGATACAAATCCTTTATCACACATCATGCGATTTGCAAATATTTTCCCAGACTGTCTATTCCTTTTCAGTCTTATAACGGAGACTTTTGAAGAGCACAATTTAATTTGTATTTTAAATTTCTATTTATGTATTTATTCTTTTAAAGTAGGATCCACACCCAATGTGGGGTTCAAACTCATGACCCTGATATCAAGAGTGGTACACTCCACTGACTGAGTCAGCCAGGTGCCGCCCAAAATTTCTTAATTTTGATGCCATCCAATTTATCACTTTTTGTCTTTTATAGATGGTACTTTTGGTCTTGTATGTAAGAAATCTTTGCATAACTCATGGTTAACAGGATTTCTTTCTCCTATGTTTTCTTCTAGAAGTTTTATGGCTTTATATTTTATATTTAGGTCTATGAATAAGTTTTTTCCAAAACTTTTTACTGTTTATGTAAACATTTTTAATTGCACTATAGTTAACATATGGTGTTCTATTAGTTTCAGGTGAATTCACCTGACAAATGCACTAATTCACCTGAAACTAATAGTGATTCAACAACTCTCTACATTACTCAGGGCTCACCATGATAAGTGTTCTCTTAATCCTCTTCACCTGTTTCACCCATTCCACCCCCCCCCC